GCAGGCGCCGAGCCGCGCGGGGGCGGCCGTCTGGCAGGCCGTCCTCTCCATCCGCCTGCCAGGTCGTCGCTGGCGGACTCGATGGCCTCCGGCGAGGCGGTGCGCCGCAATGGGCCAGGTAGGGCGAGGCCGAGGTCAGCGGCGCGGCTGCCCCGGTCGGTGGGACTACGCTCGGACTCGACGTGGCGCCGCTTCCACTGGATCTCGCAGCCGACCCGCCTCGCAGCGCTGACCTGGCAGAGCTCAGGGCTGTAGGAGGGCGCGATCGCGGGCGCGCCCCATCTCGAAGCTGAGGGGCACCGCCGCGTCGTCGCCCGAGCTGCCGACGCGGGGGCCGTGCGTGCGAGGGTCGCGGGAAGCGCGAGCAATGCCCGGCCGCCGCGCGCGGGCCTCCTTGGCGTGGATGGTGTCGGGGTACCTGGCGGCGCCGCGCACGATCGTCCTCCATCGGCTCCTGAATAGGACGGGCTCCCCCGCGGTGGGCAGGGCGCCCTCCGCGGTCCGCGATGACCTTGCGAGTCCTGGGGGGGGCGTCTGCACAACGGTCGGGCTGCGGTAGCTGGCGCAGGGGGGCCAGCGGAGATCGGGTCCGAGGTCGCGACTGGCTCTGCCACCCAGCAACGGAGAAGGTCTCGAGGGGCCCATGGCGCGACCAGCTCCTCCTCTTCCATTTGGAATTTCCCGCGCCCCTTAAGGAAGCGGAAGGTCTGCGTGACTTCGGCGTCGTCGCGAGCGGCCTCGTGGAGGGCGTGGCCCCCCTGGCGGCGGCCGCCGGGCCCGCCCGAGGCGTCGCTGCAATTGGCGGCGCGGGGCCAGGGGGCGGCCGGGTCGATGTCGGCCAGCGGCGCGAAGCCCTTCGCCGCCCCGATCTCGTCTAGGAGGCGGGGCCCGAGGGGTGCGTGTCGTTCGGGTGCTGAGCGATGAAGCGATGGCCCTCGTCGAGGGCTGGATGTGCTGGCCTGGGGATCATGAAGCGGTTGACGAGATCTCCAACCCCAGGTGCGGCCTCCATGCTCGCGCCGGTGCGTGCCGTGGGCGGCGGGTGGCTGCGTCGAGCGCGACGCCGGCCGTGGTGTGCTGCTGCGCAGGCTCGACGAGGTCGTCGCCGTCGATGCCGAGGAGGTCGAGCGCGCGTCGAGTGCCTCGACTGCGCCCTAGGCGTCGTCAAAGCTGATGCCGATCGCGTTGGCGTCGCCCTCGCGCGGCTGCGCGAGTGGCCGGCCAGGGGCAAGGGCTGGCGCGGGGCGTCGTTCATGCGCGAGGCAATCTGGCGCCGCGCAGCCGACTGCGAGAGGCCCTTCGCCTCGAGCTTTCTCGGGCAGGTCCTGGCGGAAGAACAGGGGCCGCGACCGCCCCATCATCGGGCCGCGAAGGACGGCGTGCACCCTCGTGTCCTCGGGCGCGGAGATCAGCTGGCCGCCCGAGGGCCGGTGGGCGAGCGGGTTGCCGCAGACGTCGGCGGGCTCGGGGAGGTCGAGGCCGAGCTGGCCCGCGATGTAGTCGCTGGCGAACCAGCGGGGCCCGTCCTTGATGTCGAGGCCCGCGGCGCGGATGTCAGTCGAGGTCGGGTCAACTCCCGCGGCCGCCAAGGCCTGGTCGGACAGGTCGAGGCCGGCCAGGGCGCCCGCCGAGCCGAGCGGCGTGTAGGCGGGGCTTTTGATCAGGGCGGCGAAGGCGTCGGGCGCGGCCGTGTCCGGGCGCTCGCCGCAGTTCTCTCGATGCACCGGCTAACGCGCCGAAGGGTCGAGCGCTGCGCAGCCGAGAGGCGTCGGCCCGAGGCTGGCTGGCGCGCCCAGAGGGCGCGCGAAGGAGCGTCGAGGGCGTCCAGTGACCAGATCGCCTCGCGCGCGCATCGCGCTCGCGACCGCGCCGCAGGTCCAGGGCGGCCGCCGCGCGCGAGCGCCTCCCCGAATATCGGGGGGGGGGGCGGCCGTGGCAGCGGCTCTGGATAGCGCGGAAGTCTCTGGCAGGGCCAGGTCGAGGTCCACCGCCGGCGCCGTCGGACCGCCGAGCCCGACCGTGCCGAAGAGACGCGTCCGGGCGGGGGTGGCGAAGAAGGGGGCGCCCAGGCAGCGCGCGTCGTGGGAGCAGGCTTCGCTGAAATTCCTGATCTACGTGCCCCGGCGGTCCGGGCCCGAGGGCCCGCGCTGGTCGGCGCCCTTGCCGGCCTTGCCGGCGCCCTTGCCGCCCTTGGCCACCTTGAGCGAATGGTCGATTTCCTCGCTGTAGAGACACTCCCGCGTCGTGATCTGCGCTTCGTCGCGGCGCAGCGTCGACGCTCGCTTCGCGGGGCCAGGGGGCTGCGCGCGACCGTCGTCGGCCATGGGGGCCGCGAGCGCGCCGTCCATACACGAGAAGTCTGGTGCCTTGGGGCTCCGCCTCGCCGCCGCCTCCATCTCGTCGGGCCAGCGCGCGAGATGCTCCACCGCGGCGCAGTTCGCGTAGTCGAGCTGGTCGTAGCTGATCGAGTGATCGAGGCCCTCGCAGATGCGGCGGTGGGTGGGACCCGACGTGACGTTGACTCACGACTTGGTTCTCCGGTCGGGATGGCGGGTCACGAGCGCGACGCCAGCAGCCACGAGCGCCATCACCAGCTCGGGTGCCGAGGCGACTCCAGGGAAATGCCACCCAGGACGAGTCGAGCGCCATCTGATCTTGGCGGCGGCCGAGAGGGAGAGCACCGGCACGCCGTTGATGCGCTCGTCGCCCAGCACGCGCCTGTCCTTGCCTGCGCCCGATGCCTTATTCAGGCGCCAGTCCTCGGTATCCTCGTCGGTGACCCTCTGCGCGGCGACCTACGCCTCGTCGGTGCACGCCATCCATCCTTGCGCCGTCGCGGATCACAAGAGAATCTGGATCGTCCAACGTGGCCTGGGGCAGCGGGTCGCCGAAACCAGCTTGAGCGGTGACGGCGATGAACCACCCACCGCTCTCGGGCTGCGCGTCGGCCGCGCCCATCAGCCCGTGCACGGCGAGGAGCTTCTTGGCCTCGCGGCGGATCTGCAGGGTATCCTCGGCCGAAAAGGGGGTCGAAGGCGTAGACCTGGCCCCGCACCCGCGGGGGAAACTCTCAGTCGCGGGCGAGAGGAATCGCACGATGGGTGGTGACGTCGGAAAAGTGAATGCTGAGGTCTGGCGCGCACGCGATCCAGTGTCCAGGACTCGGCGTCGCCAGCGCCAACACACGCATGTGCCGCCACATGAGCCCTTTAGGGTTGTTGAAGTAGTCGATGCGAATCCGCCTCTCTGGGATATCAAGCGTCTTGGCTGGCACTACGACGCCTCAGCGGTGATGGCGTCGCTGCTGGTACGTTGCTGCTGATTGGGTCCGAAAGCCAACTGCTGTCGTCCACGAGTGAGCGCCTGTCGACTGGGCCAGCGTTCCTGGCCGACGACAGGATCCTCCGAGCGACTGTCACGAGCGCTTGGAAGGCGAGGGTCAGCAGCACTCCGAAGGCGATGTCGATCGGGAGCCAGGCCCAGCCCAGCCAGCAACAAGGCACGTGCTTCGGCGCTAGGCAGGGCGCCTGCGTCTGGGCGGGCCCTGGCGCCGCGCCCACGGATGGCGTGACGCGGGCCCAGCAGGGGCGCCGGCAGGGCAAGGCGGGCACGGCGGCGCCGCCGGGTAGGCGAGCGAGGAGCAGCTCAGCGAATAGGAAGGGCACGGAGGGCATCCCGGCTGCGACGGGCACCTGCCGATGCATCCGACGGCTAGGCTGGTGCTCACGTCCAGCAGCCTGTTCCACATCCAACCCGCGCGCGGGCTGGCCGTCGAACTTCAGGGCCAAAACAGCCGTGCACAAGCGGTCACCCTCGGGACCGAAGCAAGAGAAGTCATGGACAGAACATATTGAGTCAAAGGAGCACCGCTGCTATCGCGCTGCAATGCGTACCGCTTGCCACCGAAGTAATCGTCGCACGGGCAAGCCGTGCCTCGCAGTGTTTCTCTTTGCCTGGGCAGGCGACTTTTTGCCTCGAGTGGCCAAGGTCCGCGGCGACGCCGACGGCAGGACCAGTCAACATCGAATAGGGAACTCGGGTCGGGTCGGAACGTGCATCAAACAGGGCCGCATCGGCACGGAGTTCGAATCGAACTGAATCGGCGGCGCCAGGGTGCACAACAGCGCCATGCAAGCATCGGGCCGCGTCGGACCGCCCGGACATCGGAACAGAATCGAATCGGGCCGGCCAGGGCTGACATTGAATCGGATCGATCGGATTGACATGGGCTCTGTACGGTGAGTCCTGTTCAAAATGGGCAGGAGCTGCTGTCGGCCTTCGTCCCCAGCCATTCGACGCGTCGCGCTTTTTCCGCAGCGCGCTTCCCCAGAGGTCTGGACCCCTCCCGGGGACGGTGTTTTCAGTTTGAGCCGATGTCCACTGGTCCCAGGGCCTCGCAAGGACCCCTGGAGGCCGAAAACGGCCGAGAACTTCCTGTCGTGATTTCCTCACAGCGGCGAAACTAGGAGGGAAAGAGCACGAAGACCAGAACCAAGCCTGAACGTGGAAATGTCTGCGTCGATCTTGGTCGTCGTGCGTCTAGGTCATCGCCAATTCATGGATCATCCTCGCGTTTTGGTGACGGCCAGTACGTTCCACGACCAAGATCGGCGTCGACAAGGATCCGGCGACATCTTGGTCATGGTCATCGTGCTTCGTCCCTCGAAAAACGCTCGGTGCGAAACAACTGCGACGCTCGGATCTCAGGGGATGCAGGATGTCTGGGTTCCCAGACATCCTCCGATATGTTCTTTTCAATCCGCGTCCCCGTGAGATCCCGATCCCTTCCTCTGGGACAATTTTGCGCCCAAGATCTTTTTCTCACGGCCCATGGAACCGGCAACGGGCCATGGGACGGAAAACGCCCGGAATAGTTAAACAACACGAAATTATTACCGAAAGTCTGGGCTCGTCGTCGTCGTCGTCGTCGTCGTCGCCGTCTTCGTGGTCGTCATCGCAACCGGCCCCGCCGCGACGAACGGTGCCCATAGGGGGCGGACGTCGACGCCACACTTGCGCCGGAGGGCCCTCCAGCCAGCCGGCAGGTCCTTGTCCGCGAAGCCGAGCTCCACCTGCCGAACCGCTGTCGCCGCCGGCCGAGGATCGAGGCTCGAGGATTTAGCCTCGAGGATCAGGGTTCAACGAGCGAGGATTTAGCATCGAGGTTCCAGGGTCGAGGATCGATGGCGCTGTGGGGCGTTCTGAACACTTAGGGCGCCTCCGCAGGCCTCTGGCAGCCGCTGGGGGCCTCCGGGGCTCCCAGGGGCCTCGGGAAGCTTGCCGAGCAGTCCCTGAGATCCGACGTCGTGAACAAACATTGAAACGTCATCCCTCGCCATCGTTCGGACGCAGGGGCCTGGGAAGGCCATGCCGACACTCTGCGATCGAGGCGCGGCCAGCGAGAGCGGCCAGGGATGGGCCGAAGCGGACGGGTGCAAAGGTAACCTTGGAAAGTTGCTCATCCTTACTATGCGGGTTGACGCCACCCCTCCACCGCTGGGGCTGATCTTGCCATCGCTCGGACGTCCACCCCCCGTGCATGTTTCGATCTCGAGCGTGCTTTTTCGATGACCCGGGATGCTCCTCGATGGTCTTCGCCGAGAAAGCATGCACACGCCCGAGCGATGCCGCGCCCATCCCAAGAAGCGCGACAGGCGCCCACGCGACGCCATCTTCCCGCAGCATCCCTCGAGCCAGATCGATCCGTGAAGGCCCTGGGGCTCGAGGCCTGGCGAGAACGCCCGGAGCGAAACACACTGCGACGCCTGGGTCGCAGGGGTCGCCGCCGCCGCCGCCACCGCCGATCGTCGATGTCGTCGTCGATGTCGATGTCGATGTCGATGTCGATGTCGATGTCATCGTCGTCGTCGTCGTCGTCGCCGTCGTCATCGTCTGTGGAAGTTGCCACGTGGAGTGGCGGAGCGTCGGGTTGCGCGGCAGTCAGCCCCCCGAGGAAGTCCTGAGCCCAGGCTGGCCTCAACAGGCCGCCTGGGTAGTCCTGGGCGGTCTCAACGCCCTGCCCGCGCCCCAGGCCAGGGTGATGAGACCGCCTCAGACTTCTCGGGGGGCCTGTTGAGGCCAGCCGGGACTGCCTGCGGGGACGGTCTGTGCGCAAACCGAGGCCTTGACAACGGGGAGCACCTCGAAGGCCTTTAGCCCCGCGCCCTGCTGTCCCTTGGAGAAACTGCGGGCGAATTAGCAGCTTCTGCCAGGTTCTCGGAATGGGTTTCCAGGCGCCTCTGGGAGCCCATGGGATGTTTGATTTCTTTTCACGGCAGATCCAATAGCTTCATCATCCCTGAAGTATCACCTCTGACTTCCGTGCGAAGTCGAAATTTCGTTGCTTGAAACGTCGAGCCCGGAACATGGTGCGCACAGCCCGACTTAAACACAGCCTGACATGAACACGCTGAAGCTGTAATGGAGCATTTGTGGCCTTCTGGTACGAAGCTCTCCAAGCTTTTCGACCAGCTACATCCTGGATCAATTCTCCCCAAACGGATCTGCATGCACTAGCGCTGGGCCAGCCCAGCTGGAATGGAACTTCTTGAAACCGCCCAAGAGAGCACATTGCATCTACCGTCTGACGTCGCGTGGCGTGGTACCCGCTGACGCTCTCACGGAAGCATCGGCGTCCCTTCACAACCCTTGCCACCCCCCACCACACACTCCACGTCGTCGACGATGCTGGTGCAAAAATTTAAACTAAGCCAGAGTCCAATATCCCCTTCTGTACAAGTCCTGTCTGCCGTACGGCCGGGAGCGTTTGCTCAGCGTGTCGCCGCGGCGGCCCCGGCGACGCGCTATGCCCTGCAAGCGGATAGCGTGTGGCTCCGCTCCGCGGGGCGAGAAGCTCGGAAGACGTTGGCGCCCGGGGATCAGGAAGTGGAAGCGTGTCGCGCCGAAGCGTGGTGGGCCAGAACCGGCAGAGCGACGCGTCATTCAAAACTCCCCGACTTTCACTCCCCTTCTGCAGGGCCCGCGCCGCCTATGAACAGAAACCATCACGCAGAGCGCCGAATGCCACCTTCGACCTCAACTCCACGGACGGTCAGGCAGGCCGCGGCGAGGCCGAGAGAGCAATTGCCAGAGCAAGTGAAGAAGAGGAGGAGGAGAGGAGGAAGAGGAGGAGGAGGAGGAGGAGGAGGAGCGTCTAGGAGGGACTCCAGCGTCCTCAATAGGAGGAGGAGGAGGAGGAGGAGGAGGAGGAGGAGGAGGAGGAGGAGGAGGAGGAGGAGGAGGAGGAGGAGGAGGAGGAGGAGAGGAGGAGGAGGAGGAGGAGGAGGAGGAGGCAGGAGAAGCAGGAGGAGGAGGAGGAGGACCATTCAAGACTCGCTGGCAAAGATGCGTGCCGACTACCAGCGGGACCCGAACTTCCACGAGTGGGTTGACCGAGCCCACCTCTATTACAGCGAGCAAGCACCAGGCCACTTTGTCTCCCACGTCCAATTCATCCAAGCCAATACGCCCTTCATCGTCTTCGGCGACAACTTGCTCGACTCCGCACCGATTCTCGAGGCAGGCATTCCCACCCCACGCGCCTGCCACATTCTCCACCGAATCAAGCAGATACGCAGCCCCAAACCCATCCTCGCATCATACGACGACCACAGCACCTTCGAGCGCGAGGTCCACATCGAGATCTTCCCGCAGCACTCCACGACACCACAGGACGAAACTGCTCAGACGGCACAACCAGCATCGACTTCTGCGACCGACAACACACCCACATACACGCGCACGGCCACATCTACCGACAGCGGCAGTACTAGCAGCTCCAGCACAACGCCAGCACAACCCAGCGCCTGTTACCTTCCACCCAGGCTACGCCACCCCTTCTCCGAACGCACCCCAAACCCGCCAGATACAAAGCCCCACCTATGATGCCGATCATCAAGGAGGAGCACCTGGCTCAAGCTCAAGAAAAGTCTGACCTCGCTACTATGCACACCGAGTTGGAAACGTCCATAGCCGCCGACCAGCATAGGCCCACCACTTCAGCCGCCTCGACTGAACCGACGCCCAATACCACGACGCCCAACCCCACCATCAACCAGCCACCCCCCATACAAATGGAGCCCCAGAAGCCCACCGGCTGGTTCCAAGTTACCAACTATCACCGAAGTGAATATAAACCCAGATACATTCACCTTCCCTATGGGCGCCACCATACGTTACCCTTACTACACGAAGCTCGAAGACTCCCTCGCCCACGGCGCCATCAGTGTCAAAGAAGGCGACGAGGTCACGATCCTCTATATGTCCTTCAACATCAACGACGAAATTTGGGCGCGCGGCACCATCGCCCAAACCAACGGCACGCGACGCAGCAGCAAGGCTTTGATCGCAGGCGCCATCACCGACTACCGCTCCAACCGCCACGACATCCTCGACAAGCTTGACACCCTTGCCACGCTGGCAGGGGACCCACCAGTCAGCCACAACACGGCCGAGACAATCCAGAAGGAAATCTACGCGGCCAACGGCATCGCCCACGACATCCTAGACAAGCTAAACGCCTACGTCACCAAACTAGCCTCTTGACTACTGGCGATGGCCATCCTCGCCCCATGATCAACGCCGCACGAGGTGCCCGCGCGCCCGACGCCGACCACGGGCATCCCCTACCGCCACCCCGTGACAATGAGGACCCACGACGGTATCCCCACTTCTCCCAGGCCCACGTGCCCCGACGGAAGCGTGCCGACGGACGACTCCAGTGCGTCAGAGTTCTTGGTGCACGGTACCTCTGTCCACACTCCCACGGCGGCGACGCTGCTCCACCTGCTACCACATCGCAGACCTGGTGCGCATCACCCACCTTAGCGGGCACTACGACTCGGCGCCCACTTACTTACTTCTATCTCACAGACTGAGAGGGGCCGTTACAGTTCACAAGCAGGGGGAGTGACTGGGGAGGTGCAGCAGCAGCAGGGGGGGGAGAGACCTACTCGCTGCTCCGTTCCCACCTACCCACCAGCGCCTAGGGCCCAGCTCGCACCGCGCATTCCCTTTCCTTCATCATTCTTTTATTATCTCCTCTCTCCCTACACCACCTGTGCCGCAGTTCTGGTCTTCTGTGCCCGCGCGCTCGATTACTGTTTCGCCCTTGCAGTCTGCAGTTTCAACCGCGCTTTCACCATGCCGCCTGTTGCCGCGATCCCGCACAATATGCTCAAGGCCATCCCACTCCTCCATATTCTCCACCTCGCCTCGATTGGCCGAGCTAATGCGCAACTAGGCCCCCCCCCTCCAAAAGAGCATGCAACTGCGCCACCTCCAAAAGAGCATGATGACTGCACCCCTCCGCATCACCCCAAAAGAGCAGGCTACCGCGGCCACCTCCGCGCCCGCCGTTTTCCTTACGCGCTCGCAGTCGCACTCAACTGCCAATCCTGCGTCGCTTCCACTTTGTTGCCCCCCTTCCCTCCGCCGTCGCTGCTCGACGGCATGCGCGCCGGCCTGTCGCCGCTGTCCTCTCATGCACTGCGCGCCACACGCCGTCTGGATTGCCGAGCACTCGGGAGGGGCGAGCGGGCTGGGAGTTCGGATAGGGGGGATTTCTGGCGGCTCGCGCCCCTCCTACCCGCCCGCCTCTGCTCTTTTCCCTCCTCTTCTGCCTGGAGCTTCGGGCCCTCCAATTCCTCCTCGCGTCACGGGCGACCAAATCACCCCTGGGGCCTAGAGGCGAACCCCTCTCCCTCTCCTTCTCCCTCCCTCTCCCCTCCCCTTTCCTTGCCCCGCTCTTCCGCTCCTGCCTCTGGGGGTTTGCCTTCTCGCCCTTGGGGTGGTTTGGCCCTCCGTCCGTGCTGTTTTACCTCGGGCGCCCCCCCCCTTTCCCCCGCCTGGCAAGCAGATATCGTGCGCGCGTGCTACCTTCTTCCCACCTGTCCCCTAAGGCGCCCCCCTCGTCGCCCAGCCGCGGCGACGAGGGCAGGGCAGGAGTGCGCGGCTTCGGGATCACCTTCATCAGCCATGAGTCAGTCAGGAGGAGGAGAAGGAGGATGAGGAGGAGGAGGAAAAGGAGGAGGAAGCATAATAGGAGCATTTCTTGGCCGAAGCCTCAACGTGCTTGCGACGACCGCTAGGCTCTTGCCTGCTCCTCCTTCGCCGCAATCCTGGCTCGGAGGGCACTGGATTTTGTCGGCGGTCGTGCTGGCGCGGGCGTCTACCGCGGCCGGGGCGCGGTGGCGTTTGCTCTCGCCTCGGCCTTCGCGAGCGGAGCCTCGGGTTCTGCGTGAGCAACGGGCAGGTCGAGTTTGGGGTGCAAGCCTCTGCTCTACCTCCTCAAAACAAAATTACTCCAGATTTCGTCATAAAGGGAGGGGGGTCTCATTCC